GCAGGCCCCCTGCTGGTTGCCTGCGAACCCAGACAGGCCTGGTGGGCTTGCTGCCCCGAGTGGGGAGGTCAGGGTTCATCCCCACTCGTCACCCCCGACCCCCGAGGCCTGAGGAGTCCCTCGGCAGGGCGTGCACACGCATACACACACACAGACACACGCACGCACGCACACGCACTCTGGCAGCTAGCCCAGCGCACCCTCCCCCTGCCTGCCTCGGGGTCCTCCTCGCTCACCTTGCAGAAGGGGCTCCAGGCCTCTGTCCGGCCCTGCATGCTCACCTGGCCCGTGCTCGCAGCCCCACTGCCTCTCCTGAACACGAAGACTCGGGCACGGCTTCCCCGTACAGAATCAGGGGGAGGAGCGTTTATTCCCCCTTGTTTCCTGTCGTCTTGGCTGACTGTGTCCCTTTGGGCACAGCTCCCTTCAGAGGACAGCCCCCTTCACACAGACCTCTCTGGCTCTGTCTCTCTCTCTCTCTCTCTCTCTCTCTCTCTCTCTCTCTCTCTCTCTCTCTCTCTCTCTCTCTCTCTCCTGTGACTCCTTCCTCCACTCTCAGGCCTGGGGGTGGTTTCAAAATCTCCGAATGTACCAGTCCCAGGGCACAGCACCTTCCCTGTGTTCCCTTAGAACCTTCCAGAACATTTGCAAACAGTCTTTCTATGGAGCGCCTCTCCTACCACCCAGTTGTCACATGCCCTCTGCCCCCTGCTGGGGCCCAGGTGGGCCTCACCCCCTTCCGCCTGGACGCCCCTAGAACATCTGCGGAAGAGCCACTTTATTATGGAAGGGGCTTTCCATCCTCATTGCCCCCAAATACCTACCCATCCATCTCTGAACACGAGGTCAGGGAGAGCAGTTTGGGTGTCGAGGGGAGGTGGCACCAAGCACTAACATGCAGACTGTGGCTCTGGTGGGAGGCTGGCCTCACGGGCACACGGCCATCTCCAGGAACCACACAGCCTGGGCAGGCAGCTGCTTATGGGCTGGAACCTAAACGGGGTTCCTGGCCCAGACTTGCCAGGCCCCAAGCCAAGTGAAAGGTCCTTTCTGTGAAGGATCAGAGGTCGGAGGGGCAGACTTATCAGTGAGAAATGAAACAAAGTGCTGTATCAATCACATTAGGAGACAGATGTCACTCTACCCTCTTCCCTCTGCTGGGGAGACCCCTCTCCTTGAGCAGTTTCAGGAACCAGGCAGCAGAGGGGCCTCCCCAACCCACATCCAGGCCATCAGCATCTAGAAAGGACTGACATTAAGAGATGGTCCACAGGCGAGGTGACAGGTGACTTGTAATGACAACTTGTCCATTCTCATTTGGGCCCCGGGGAGATGGGCTTCCCTGGGTCTCCCATGAAGATGCTACAGGCTGGGGCCTCCTGGTGTCAGCCCAGGTTCTCCCACAAGAAGGAAATATGTTACAAGGACATATGTCACTTTCAGCCTGTGACTCAACATCATTCGGGGAGCCTGAGCATCTGCACGGGATTACTCCTGTGACTTGGGTGATACAGAAGACATGGCTCATGTGCATAACCCTTGTAAACCGAGGGGTCCTCGTGGCTCATCTTGGAGCAATGACACCGTCAGGAAGCACAGTTCATCTCCTAAAGGGAGGAGGGATTCCAATCTGTCCGCGTCTCTCCTGAAGAACATTGAAGGGGACCACTTCCTTACCCTCAGTATTGTTTTCTGGAATTCACTCCCACCTCCCCAGTTACTTTGTATGCCCTGCCCCCAGCTGCTCCAAAACCCAACCCCTTTCTCCAGGCCCAGGCCCATGTAGGTGGTATTCTTTTCTCTCCCATCTCTTACAGTGTAGATTAACATCCTTCCTCTGGTCCAACAGGAATCCTTTCTCCTTAGGAGAGGTAGGCAGAAGAGGTGGGGAGTGGATAGACAAATGTAGAATGCTCTTTAGCAGAACGGGGGAAGTCTGTGAACACCTGCACATTGATGGTGTGCAGACAGTGATCATTTAGTCACTCAACTATTCAGACAACAGGAGGGTCCTGGGTCCCTGCCAGGAGGCCACAGCTGGCTGATTCAGGGGCCTGCCTTTTGTCAGCGCAGTTTGTAGCCCAGTGTCTCCTGTGTTTATTTCACTTTGCTCGTCTGCTGCTGTTGCCTAATCTTACTGAAAGTCTCGGGCTCTCTCTTTTGGACTAAAGGGCAAACAAAGTACAAGGGAATGTTTTTATAATGTTTGGGGCAGAGCATTAAACGGGTCTCAGTTCCTGGCCCTAAGTCTGTGTGCTGAGGCAGCCGAGATGTGAAGGAGGACAAGAGACCCTAAGAGAAGGTGGGAAGAGGCAGGCGTGTCCCCCGTCTGCTTCCGGGGCGATGGCCCTGCAGCCCCGGGAGGAGGGGCGGGCTTCTCTCTTCTGTTGCCCCGCCTGACGCCGCTGCGTCTCCCGCCAGCGTCATCATGACCGGGGCCTACAACAACTTCTTCCGCATGTTTGACCGGAACACCAAGCGGGATGTGACCCTGGAGGCGTCGCGGGAGAGCAGCAAGCCCCGGGCGGTGCTCAAGCCGCGGCGCGTGTGCGTGGGCGGCAAGCGGAGGCGGGACGACATCAGCGTGGACAGCCTGGACTTCACCAAAAAGATCCTGCACACGGCCTGGCACCCGGCCGAGAACATCATCGCCATCGCGGCCACCAACAACCTGTACATCTTCCAGGACAAGGTGAACTCCGACATGCACTAGGCGCCACACGGCCACGCGTGGAGCGGCCACCAGGGGGCGCCGGGCCGTCCGTCCAGCATCCCTGGGCCGGACCGCCTTTGCTGGTGATTGTTTGAAAACAGGAAAAAGGATTCACAGTAAACCGACGCGATTGTCGGCCTTGAAGTTCAGTTCTTTCATCCCGTACTTTAACCGCGTGCAGTCGTTCCCACCTTATTAGGATTTTTACCTCTGCGCGTTAATTTTTCACTCCAGAGGTTCCTTTCTGGGGACGCGGGAGCCCCGGAGCCATTTCTCTCTCGCGCCTCACTGGCCCCAGGTCAGGGCTCCGGGGACAGAGAACGAAGCTCAAACAAGCCAGCCAGGGATTCTTTTGATGATAAATGGAGCAATTGCCACAGTTTCAGAGCCGAGGGTCTCACTGTTTTGCTTTTTGGATCGTGAATTCATGCTGAGAATTTGCAAGCTCCTCTTTTAGGTTATTTTAATGTCTTTGAATATCCCAGGTCTGTTACAGTTTCTTGAGAGGAAGGGGAATGGAATCCCATGTGTGTGCCTGTTTTCTTCACCATTTAAACCACCCTTCGCGAGCATCTGCCCCGTGCTGGGCGTGGTGCCGGCCCCCCAGGCCCATGGGTCTGTCCCTACAGCTGCTCTGTGGCTCTCCTATCATCCTGCAACCGTCACTGGCACCTCGTGGGAACTCATACTGGCTCCCTCCATGATCTTTCTGAATCTTCATCACGACCCTGTGAACTGGGTGCCTATTCATTTCCTCCATAAATGCCAACTGCGCACTGAGTGCCAGGCTCTGTGCCAGGTGCCAGGGATTAAAGGTGAATAACTTGTCATTCCCTTTGTGCACACAAGAAAACTGAGGCCCAAGGCCTGCACCAACCAAGGGGGGAGTCAGGAATCCCGTCCAGGCGCTCCCACAAGGCCCTTTATAACCCACCACGTTGGTGGCTCATGTTAAAGCAGCATTCTAGCCTGGAAGCTTCTGGAAACATCTCTTCATCTTGTGAAGCAGGACAGAGCAGGTGGGACAATGACGAGGGTCCGGGGAGAATCGAGACACAGAATGCAGAAGACCCCCGGGGTGCCCCTTGCCTGTTGGGTAACGAGGAACTCCGCCCTCTGTTCACCCCACATCTGTACCCCAGCTCCTTTTCCAGATGCACTGAACTGCCTCCAAAAGAAAATTGCATGTTATGACCATTTTAGGATAAATTTTCTTTTATGACCCTCAGTCCCAAAGGACACTTCCCCTGGGGCCACAGAGAATGCGGTATTTCCAGGACAGTTCCTCCCGCTGTCAGGACCAGATCGGCCCACCCACCCACCACGCCCACTTGTCTTTGCCCTTGGAACTGGCAGCAGAACCACGTGGCTTGCATTTTGATTCAAAAAGCAGAGTTCAGGGGCTTCCCTGTGGCGCAGTGTTTTCTTTCTTTCTTTTTTTCCTCACTTTTCTTCTGAGCCATGTACAGGGTACTGGTGCTCCAGCTGGTTGAAAGAAACCAAAAAAAAAAAAAAAAAAGCAGAGTTCAGAGGCCGACTGAATCCGACATTTTTTTTTTTACAAGATGTAACCTAACCCAGGAAATAGGCCCAACCCGAGATTTTTCTTAACAGATAATGGTCTACTTTTGTGTGTGTCAAAGCACAGAACGCATGTGCACTCACTTCCAGCCGTACGATAATTACACAAGGAAATGGGTCCATTGATTTTTTTTTTAATCAACATGAATGAAGAATGTTTGTTTATATATCACTGTAAAATGCAGGTGACCTGGACAGTATTTTATGTACATATCTATTCTAACTAAAGTTAACAATCACAGGGATGGATTCCTCTTTTTCCCTTTGTAAAGAGGTTCAAAATGTGGTAAATTGTATAGAAATCTTGTTGAAGCCAAAATCCAGCTCTGAGGGCCTTACACAATTACTGGGGTATTTGGTGTGATCCATTTCCCTTTGTGATTCAGATGCTGAGAGGAAATTTGCATTTGCAGATAGAGGTTACTGTCAGATCATAGATTTTACATGGACCATTTCTACAAAGTGCAAATCTGTATTCAAAAGGAGGTCTTAATACAGTTCCTGGTTCCTTACTCTGTTTTAAACTTTGGATACCAAACCAGAAAGGAACAAAAAAAAAAGGGAAAGAAAGAAAAAGATCTTCTCAGAAGAAAAAGCATGCCTTTGGATCCCTGGAAAATAATGAAGTCCAAAGCAAATTATGAATAAAATGTGTGTTGAGAAAAGATGCTGAGGGGGGCAAAACTAGACATGGCAGAAGGGCCAGTAACATAGTCACAAACTTTGCTTCCTTACCGTTTAAATTTTCTGCTCTTTTTGAATGTACGGGCGTTCACATAGTCATTGTGAAGTTGTTGAGTTGTTTTTGTTTTTATTTCAATACTCTCTGAGGACTGATCGCTCGGTGGCATCGGTTAAGTGGTGGTAGAGTAGACAGGCCTGACCATTTTGGACTCTGTGACTCATAGGTGCATTCTTGTTTTCTTTGGTGTCTCACAAACTATCCAACTGTTGAATAAAATTATAAATATGTTAATACCAGCTTTTTCCAATAAAATAACAAACGTTACATGGAAAATGAGGCTTGGAATGCTGTTTGTTTTTAATGGGCCATGGGTCGCGTCAGGAGGCACATATAGCGGGTGGGGATACACATGGGAAGCCTGGCTCACTTCCAGGCTTTCCTGCCTCCAGATTCTACGGCAGCCTTTAACCTTTCCGAGCTCTGATTTCAACACTGAGGAAATGGAGCTGATGATAGTACTGACCTCGTGGTTTGGGGTCGTGAGGGGAGGGGCGAGATTAAATTGGATAAGGCCTGCAAAGTGCAGTGCCTGGCACGTAAGCTCTCAATAAATGACAGTTGTCTTGTTTTTTGTTTTGCTTTGCTTTGCTTTGTTTTGTTTTGTTTTGAAGCAAGGAAGCATAGCCCACCATGATTTTCAAATATTCTCACACTCTCCCCTCACCTTTTTTGAGCCTCACATCCAACTTGAGAATATGGTACAGATGAGGAAACTGAGGTTCAGAGAGGTGAAGGAATTGGCTCAAAATCACACAGCTAGCAGGTGCTGGAGCCACGTTTCTAGTTTGGCCCGGTCAACTCCTAATACGGTGCTCCCCCAGCAGCACCACCACACATGCTTCAGTGTCCTGGGGAACAGGATCCGGGAGGAACCAGACCACAGGGCATCTGGATTGGTTCTGGAAGCCAGAGAGTCCCAGCCCCACATGCTGTGATGGCTGAGATAAGCCAGAGACTGTGTGGGGAAGCGCTTCATGTACCCCGTGGCTTCCCTGCTCCCCTCCTGGGAGCCCAGGCCTTGCCTCCACTTTCAAGAGGGTGTTTTAACTTCGGGCCCAGCAGGAGGAAGGAAGTGGCTGTCCTGGTGGGTGTGCTGGCAGGACTTTGATTGGCTAAGTTCTCCATCAACCAGAAGTGGGGAAAGCCACTTCTGGGCTGTGTGGCCTTGGACAATGGGCTAACCTCTCTGAACCCCATATGTAAATAGAGGGTGATGTCACTCCTTCTTGCTGGGATGACTAGTGAGGTAATAAAAAATACCTGTTAAACCCTGTGGCCCCATTATATGGGGGCTTTACATGTAGTATCTCGTTTAGGCTTCATGTTTTGCCTTTTGTGGGGGAAGGGGGGGAGTACTAGTGTTATACCCATTTTACACCTGGAGAAACTGAGGCTTAGGGAGAGTAAGATTTAACTTGTGCCGAAATTCATAGAACTTGTAAGTTGAGGAGTCTGGATTCAAACTCAGATGGTGGAAGCGCCAGCGCATGGCAGATGCCCAAAGGATGGTGACGATACCGTGGCCTCAGCCCTACCAAATCCAGCCCCACCCAGCACTGACTGAGCACCAGCTCTGGGACTCCGCAGGTGTGATTAAGATTATGGACCTTGAGATGGGGATTGTATCCTGGATTATCCAGGGAGGAGCAGTCTGTCACATGAGTCCCAGAAGGTAGAGAACCGCTGTTGGCTGTACTCAGAGGGAGATGCAGCAATGCAAAAAGGGTCGGAGAGATGTGACATGAGGACTCCACCTGTCATCGCTGGCTATGAAGATGGAGGAAGGGGCCACAGGCCAAGGAGTATGGGTGGCCTCTAGGAGCTGGAAAAAGCAAGGAAATGGATTCTCCCCTAGAGCCTCTGGAAGGAGCACAGCCCTGCCGACACCTCGATTTTAGCCCAGTGAGACCACGTGGGACTTCTGACACGCCCCCCACCCCCAAGACTGTAGGAGAATAAGTGTGTTGTTTTAAACCACTCCAGTTTGTGGTCCTTTGTCGTGGTGGCTCTGGGGAGTGGACACACTCAGGTATCTTCATTCTGATCTCACAGCCAACACTTTCAGCAGATTCCTGCCCACTTTCACAGATGAGGACCCCAGAGAGGCCCAAGTACTCGCCTAAGGTCGAGCAGCAAAGGCGGGACCGGCCTCCACGTGGCCTTTCTTGGGGGCAGCCAGGGTGGGGCCTTGCCGGGAGCTCTGAGCAGTGCTCAGGGCCTGGCAGCCAGATGGTAGCACAGAGGGGTGTGGGGCTGCTAGAGGGCCAGGGCCCTGTGGGGAGCGGCACACGTGGACGGGCCCCGGGCTGAGCTGTGGGCAGGCCACAGAGCGAGCACTCCAGGGGCCACGTGAAACAAGGCTCAAACTCTGCTCCCCTCGCCAGACCTCTTCCCAGCTGCAGACCATCCTCTGCTCAGATGAAAGCAGAGCCATCACCCTGTTTCCCCCGAGCCCTGAGCCTCTGAGGCTCTTGACACCCACTGGACTATGCCCTTGAGCCTTGGCCTGGAGTGTGGGCCCCTCGGTGACCTGCCCAGCTGCCCTGTCAGCATCCTTACCCTTTACACTCCGTGTCATTGTTGTATTAACAGCGGGCACTTCTGAGCCGTGCGCTGCACCAGGCACCCTGCTGAGAGCTTTGTGTGCATCATCTCATTTCATCGGCAAGTCACCG